AGGTACAGCGGCTTTCTATGTAGGCATAAAGTATACTCAGGTGTGAAATGCACTTTGTATGTGATCAAGTTAAAAATTTGTACTGCAAGTGACCACCAGCTGTGGGAGCCAGCAAGTCTACATGTTATCTACTACAACAAAGGGTTGTGTTAATGTAATCAGAGATTGCTCTGAAGCAGTGGTTCCCACCCCAGTCCTCAAGTACCCCCTAACCAGGGCCGGAATGGGAGAAAAATTCGGCCCGGGCACCAATGACGAACATGCCCCCTCTCAAAGTGAGCATGTTGGTTCAATGCTCTTCCAGGGCAGACCATGCGCAGAACTCTGCTAAAGTACTCTAGCATGAGAAAAAAAGCCCTGTATTTGTTCTGCACAGTGCAAGCAAATTTAATAACATGCTTGCACTCTGTTTCCTTGCAACTTGTCTCTGGTGTCTCTATAAATGGATACCAGGAGACAAAAGGGTCAGGAAAGAGTATTGTGCATGTGTTTGGAGCCTGCTTGTGGGATTGCGTGTGTGTAGAGTGAGCTGATTGTGGTGTGGTATTGTGTAATAAGGTCGGTTTTAGTCGTGTTGTGTTTTTGGTGAAATGTAATGCATATGTGGCTAGGGGCTGTAGAGAATGTGTGTATTGGGGATGTAGTAAGTGTGTGCATACAGGCTATAGTGTGTGTGTGTGTGTGTGTGTATAAGGTGATGTAGTGTTTGAAGGGGTTGTAGAGAGTGTGTGTTTGGGGGTGTAGTATGTGTTTGTTTACAATGAATCTAGTGTGTTTATAAGGGATCCAGAGTGTGTATTTTAGGAATGTAGTGTGTATGTGTAGGTGGTGCAGTGTGTGTGTATACAGGAGTCTAGTGTGTGTTTGAATGACCCAAAATGTGTAGGAGATCTAGTGAGTGTGTGTGTATATAAAATCCCTGCTCACGCCAGGGCCACCCAGATAGTCGGTACCTACAACGCAGATTTGTCTTTGTTTAGTGGCTTTATATTGATAGATACGCTCTAAACAGATACTCATCATCAAGAAAAATCCCTCTACTGAATCAGCAAGAAAATTCCTCTACTGACATCAGCAGAGGGAATCTTTATAACTCTATTACTAGGATTAGAGCTAGGATCAAGTTATGATTATAACTCTAAGGAAGTTATGATTAGGGTAGGATTAGAGTTGTGTTGAGGTTTAGGCTTGATGTTAAAGGGACACTAGTCACCAGAACAACTATAGCTCATTGCATTTGTTCTGCTGAGTAGAATCATTCCCTTCAGGCCTTTTGCTGTAAACACTGTTTGACGAAGTGCCTTTCGCCACTTGTGCCTGGAGGGGACTACTGGCTAGCCTCCTGCCTTCCGACTATGGCCCCTGTGATGATAGCTGTATTTTACCCTGCAGAAAGGTTTGTGTATTTCTGACGGGGCGTTTGGGACTTTCGGTATGCGAGTAGTGCTACCTCAGATAGCTATGCTTGGCTCCATGGCAATTGAACTGTATGTATGTGATCTGAGCGCCATTCGGTAATAATGTGTGCTCAGATCTAAGCTATCTGGGGATATGTTGCATGTGTGTGTTTTGTGTAGTAATTGTAACATTGTGTAATTTTATGTCTTTTTGTAACCATGTGGTTAATGGAGTTTTGCCTCTGTCCTGGGATATAATTTGATTACTTCCCAATTATCTCCAGGATAGAGAGGAGGGATTGTGATGTCACTGTGGGAGTGTTTTGTTTGTATTGTCTGTGATTGGCTAATATCCAATATGTGTCCCATTGTTCCATCAGGTCCCCTAGGGGAGTGTCCACCTGGTGGACACTTGCATAAATACCGGGCAGGTAGCCCTCAATAAACCAGACCTACTTGCACCTTTCTTGAAGCCTTGGCTCATGCTTGGAGGAAGGGATACCTACACTCTGGGGATTGCTATAATCACTTACTCCCCAGAGTAAGCTCTTGTAAGAGCTTGATTTGTTCCTGCTACGCTCTCTGGATTTAGGAGAGGTTCGCCCACTGGGGGCTGGATCCTGGTCATGTATCCAGGGTGGGTGAGAGACGGTGAGACCTCGGCGCAGCTGTATCGCTGGAAGTGGGGTCCGCAGTGCTGATGGTGTCGGTTGGAGCGCTAGGAGCATCGGTTGGCGAAGGTACTCAGTTGGAGTGCCAGCGGTCCGTCACACACTGTCTTTTCAGAGAAAATGCAGTGTTTACATTACAGCCTAGTAATAACTCCACTGGCCACTCCTTACCCCCTTAAGGACACATGATGGAGATATTCAGTCACGATTCCCTTTTGTTCCAGAAGTTGTGTCCTTAAGGGGTTAAATGGCTGCTAGAGGTGCTTCATGGGGCAGTGTTGCAGACAGCACTGCCATTCATTGTCTCCACCCTCTGCATGCAGACAGTGAACTTTCCTTATAGAGATGCATTGATTCAATTCATCTCTATGAGGAGATGCTGATTGGCCAGGCCTGTCTTTGACTAGTGCTGGCTCTGCCTCTGATCTGCCTCCTTGACAGTCTCAGCCAATCCTATTGGGAAACACTGTAATTGGCTCAGACCACCACTTCTGATGATGTCAGCAGACAGAGGCAGTTCACAGGCAAACAGGGGCAGAGCCAGGAGCTGCAGATTTGAATACAAGTACGATTTTACTATATTAAAAATCTTAGTATATATACCAAAATGCAAACATGCATGGATTAAGTTATACATGTTTACATGTTTTCATTGTGTTATATCTAAAAACAGATGACAAAAGCCCTCTTCTTCCAAATCCCACACTTTCTCTGCGGTCCAATCGCAAACTTTCCAGTGCCACTCAATGAGAAGTCTTTGCAAGGCAGTTGCACTAGACAATTGCTTGAACCAGTTTTTTTGTTTGAAAGTCAAGGAATGTAACAAGGTTAGTTTATAAATGAGCCAATGTCTATTAAAATGTATGCTTATTTGTAAAATAAAAAAATTAAAAATGATACTTTACACATGAAGTATTTCAGCAAGCTAAAGTGCTTTAGTGGTCCAGAGTGTCCTTTTATGGACAAAACAAGCTAACTGAAAGTGTGTCCTTGAGGATTTAAAATGTTTGTGGGTATAAGGCTAATGTTTATATTGAGCTATTTTTACTGGTTTAAACTCTGTAACTTACCTGAATATTTAAAATAAATATTCAATAGTTTATCTTCTAACGTAATTTATATAACATGTCCATTTTTTTCTATATTCCCGTTCATGTAAATCTAGAGAAAATTAACTGCTGTTGTGTCAGTATATCTGCAATTAATGCACATTCACTTACACTAGTTTGGCTTAAATTGTGCAAGTCAGCTGTCTTCTTTTAAATAAGACTTCCGTATTTTTCATCAACGTAAGCTCTCTTGTGTATTATTGTGTATATCATTTATGGTCCCCCTCCCTTCGATTGTGCGGGCAAGCTAGTGCAGAGAACCTCTTTTTGTAGTGGCTTATGAGCAATCCCACTCTCCCTGTTTTGTATATATGTGTTTAATACATTTCTGATGTGTTTGTCATCAGTGTTACACTGACAGGGCCGGACTGGGAACTAAAAGCAGCCCTGGAAAAATATTCTATACCAGCCCAATAATGCGTCGCGCCAGCATAGTGTGCTAATATAGAGGGTGAAAAAATAACTTAAAATTGAAAACTATAACTCCAACGAAAGAATGCATATAGGGCTTCAAAATAAACAAAAGAGCGCCTTTATTTTAAGCAGACGTACATTTGCATGTAAATTGTTTCAGTACAACTACTTTAGCCTATTAAGGACATTTTAGTAATGGGACTGAAATGGTGAATGTATGCGTTTGCACAACTGAAAAAAATGAAGTTATCTTGTTCATTTTGAAGTCCTATGGGTGCACTCTTTACTTTGAATAGCCAAAGTACGTGCTCATTACATATATGTATATATTAATGACATTTATGTGTGTATTATGCATATATAAATGTATATTAATATATGTGTAAATATTATAGGCATAATTATATATGTTACTAATAAACACATCAATATACATGCATATATATATATGTGTGTATTACTGTCAGGATCATATCAATTACGTCTATTACGTTTACCTCGTTTAGTGTACATTGTCTCCAATTGTCTACTTTTTGTCTCTTACAGCGACCCTTGTGTATCTTTTACTTCATCCCAGTCCCTGTGTGTTTCTTTTTACCCTTCTCTTTCCCCCAGCCCCTTTTGTGTGTCTTAGCCCCAGCCCCTTTGTCTCTTTCTCCCCTTCCAAATCTCATCTGTGTGCCTCTTTCTCCCAGCCACTCTGTGTCTCTTTTTCCCCTAGCCCAGCGTTGCCTCCCACAAATCTTGTGTCACTTTGTTCCCCTTCCCTATGTCTCTTTGTCCCCCCAACAAACCTTCTGTATGTCTCTTTCTCCCCTCTCCTTCCTGTGTCTCTCTTCCCCATCTCCTCCCTGTGTCTCTCTCTTACCCCTCTGTCTCTTTGCCCCCTTCCCTTGTTTCTATTACCCCTCTGTCTCTTTGTCTCCCCATCCCCTGTGTCTCTCTATTACCCCTCTGTCACTTTGTCCCCCCTTCCCTGGTGTCTCTCTATTACCCCATCTGTCTCTGTGTCCCCTCTTCCCCAGTG